CAGAGGTTGTCTGACGAGCAATGTAGCTTCAAATACAGCAATTCTAGGCAGAAGCGGTGAATTAAGTGAATTACTATTAGCAACAAATGCTAACCGGCACTAGCAATCACAGCAGCTTTCCAGAACAGCAGGAAAAACATATGGTCCAAATGACTGATTGAAACTATAATGATATTAATACAGAACAGTTAAAGAGTAAACTAATATCCAGGCACTTACTTTGTTTATTACGAAGAAACTTATGAAGAAAAAGACTATGTCACACTGCTAGCGGTGCGAGTGGAAATAAAAGAACTCAACCAGGTTCTCTCTCAGTCTTTCTAACAAGACAAGATCAGGTAAGCAAGTAAAGAACGCTGGAAATCTACTCACATGAAGGCTTTCGAAAATCTGGTACTAACTGGATCCCTGGTCAAGACTTATGAGGCCAGATAAGCTGAGCTGAGTTGGGCTGATTGGGAGTGAGTTTGATTATTACAGGTGGAAACAGTGAGCCTTCAGCTTCCTGCTTGTGGAGCAGAGCAGAAAGTAAACACAGCCGATCAGTGAGGCCGGAATCATAACAGCATAAATACAGACAGAATAAAGCATGACCCGTCACAAACAGAAGGTCCAACAGGTCCTCAGAGCAGAACCAACGTTCAGCCTGAAGATCAGCTCTCTGCCTAAATCCTGATCAATGGGCGTTTTAACTCCTGAGGACACGGAGATGTCCGCCGATTTACAAACAATATCAAATCCAAATCTTCTCTAAATATCTGGATATTCCTCCATTTATTCATGGTGAATGAGAGTTTGACAGGAAACTACTGATGTCAGTCAGGAACATCCTGGAGACCTGAAGAAGAAACACTGAGATGTTTTAAAATGAATAAACTCTGATCTAAACTGTCCATCATCGAAGGTCCTACTGATCTAAACCATCCGTCATAAAACCCGGGAGATGGATGTGAACCTTCTGTTGTGAGTCTGGGCATTACCAAAAAATCATTCAGTTCCTCACTCTATAGCATCGTTACCACATCCAACCATCATGGCTGCCCTTCATCTAAAACCTAGAAGAAGAATTAACTGAGGCTTCAGAATTCAGGAATTCCAGTCCTAAGTTTCTTGAAAAAGTTACGACTTTTTACATTTTAAACAAAATAACAATTAAGGATTTAGATTCAGATTTAGCCAGAACCAGGACCCATAAAGTCCTGGTTCTGGCTTCTTGTCTGTAGGTATCACTGTTACCATGACATTCCGTATGTTCTTGCAGGTCAGGTTCCACCCAGTCTCACTAACAGGCTGCAAGAAGCCAACAGCAGCGAGGAATCTTTAACAGACAACTTTTCCACCAATGACAACTCTCGACTTCTCCCCGCCCCTGACAAACAGAAAGGTGAGTCTCTCTGTACCCTGAAGTCGATGTGTCTGAGGTCATGTGTGATGACTACTCTTCTCTCCTAGGTGTTGTCAGCTCAGCAGAGTACCCTCCCTCTGTCTGCACGCCTCCATCATCCTCCTCCACCTCTCATCCTCCACGGTTGTCCAACTGTAACACGGCCCATAATCCAAGAACCAATGAAAAGCGCTTGTCGTCAACAAAAAGCCACGCCTCCTTTAAGACAGATGCCGCCCACATTAAGGAAGTCGCTGGAAATGGTGAGTAGATCTGTGTGAGGTTTTCCTGCCCTCTATCAGAAAACTGCACATTGTTGTCGTTATTGTCGGCAGGTAAAGAACTTTGGACTGTGGTGCTGAATCTGGACAGTTTTTGGCATTGTAGATTAGCCTTATCCAAACACACAAACTCATCCTAGCTCCTTCCTTACTGGAGTCACTACTCGGACTGCACTGATCATGGTGACTATGGACACACTTCTGCTCTGGCTAAAGTTTTCATAATTGAAGGTGACTCTGGATGAGAGCAACTACAGAGGCAGGTGAAGGTTTAAGAGGTTTATTGAAAAACAAGATAGTGGATGTGAGCTGGAAGCTGTAAGGTCTGGTCAGGTTCTTCTGGGCTTCTGCAGAGAAGATGAGACTGGTGAATGTGAAGAAACAGTTGCTGGAGGATTATGGTTGGCTGACACTCACTGTAGAGAGGTCCAATCTTGGGGGGAGTGTCCCCGGTGGTCCGAATGCTGACCAGTACTCTCTCCCTGGTTGGTGGTTTGAGGGTGGACATAGGTAGGAGGGCTGAGCAGTGGATAACCCGAGATCCCTCTCGGGTTCCTGGTTGTTTTCAGACGGGGGGTCCAAGGTCTTTGGTCCACGGCTGGGTCCAAGGGTCAGAAACAGGGGTTCTGTAAGAAAAGGTTCAGAGCAGGATTTAGGCAAGGGTTTTAGAATCTCTAGGACAAGGTTTGGGTTAGGTCTGTACCAACGCAGTGGCGTTAACGAACTGACGCCCTCCTCCTGGTTCCAGCTCCTTAAGAAGGGTTATGATCAGCTCAGATGTAGTGCACCTGCCCGTCCATCCCTGCTGAGGAGAGAGAGAGAGAGAAAACCTGGCCTGCACCCGGATACAGCCCGGAGTGTGACAAAAGTGTCCATAGAGATTTGCCCAACTCTGATGAAGCCTTAGAGCCCTTACCCATTGGCAGTATTCAAATGGTTCCCTGCAAGCTCGGACTGGGAACGATTTTCAGCCCTGGCATTTTTCCATCTACACCGGCCCACCGGGCGTGAGTCGCAAATGAGAAACACAATACAAACACACATTGTAAATTAACTGATCTCTTTTCAAGCATCACACAACAACCATCACCAAGACTTAATGCTATAATGCGGTTTAACTGCCTTTGGTTATTACCACCGACGCGACAGTGACCGCTGCTGCGTAACGTCCACTCACACATACAGCGCCGTCACTGACTCACGTTTTCCAGCCCAAAAGATTTGTATAAACTGCCTGGATATTTGAAATCAACATCCCAATCTGAGCATGACAAGGAAGGGCTATATATGCTGCATGCATCATTTAGGGAGTTAGCATTGGATTACTTAGCCTGGTTTCCTGCTCATGGTGTTTTTTTCCCAGTTTATCTGATGTGGTCCATATCAGTTGGCTTGGACGTCAGCGCTGGGTTCAACTTCTTGGCTGAAAATGTTAGTGTTGATGATTTGAAAATAAAATAATCTGTGTGTTTTATGTATTGAATCAAACCGATTTAGAGGAGAGAAGCTGAGCCCCTCAAGCTCCTAACGGACAAATAAGCAGAAAGACTGAGTCACAAATTCAATGATCCCTGCTGGATATGTGTGCTATAGCTAAAGGGGAAGGTTCAGCAAGTAATTTAGTCTCAAAGTTCCCCAAACAGAACAAAGTCTCATG